GAAATACATGGTTACACATACATGTGGTGTTTGACAGAAGAGAAATAACAAGTGATATGAAATGTTATAAATGATAATGGCCATGTTATGTGATATGAGAGCTAGGGGTATAGTTGGCATGCCAAGAGTCGAGGGTATACCTATGTTCTACGGAACATATGGACAGAATTACCTATGTCTTTCGAGACATATGGACAGTATACCTATGTTCTAAGGAACATATGGACAATTTACCTAGGTTCTTCGAAACCTATGGACAGTTGCCGAGGATCTTTATGACCTCTGGATAGTTACCGATGATCTTTATGACCTCTGGATAGGTCCTTCGGGACATTGATCGAGCTGTGGTGACAGCATATGTGTGCACAACCTCAATGTACTCATATACCTTAAGTTCTCACTAGTGTACATGGGCTAATAAAGAGATTAAACAAACATACTGAATGTGATATGTATACGATGGGTTTTTATAAATGGTTATCAAAAGTAAGTGGTTTGAAATGTGTTACATGAACCATATGATGTTATATGTGTTTCTTAATGATAATGATAGAGATTATGATAATGATGGTATATGTTTATGTATGCTTTATGTTATATGAAATATTATATGTTTTATATGCCTCACTAAGTCATCGACGCGTGTGATTGTTTCACACGTAGGTTTGGAAAGCGAAAAGAGAAGTAAAGAGGAACAAGACAAGTCAATTCTCCTTACCGAATGTCAGATCAGAAGAGAGATGAATAATATGTAATTGTGTATATAAAGTTCTAGTTGGCATGTAATCAAAAGAATATATTGTATAAGCTCTGAATAGTTTTGTAAATGTTTTGAATAAGTTAAATGTTATAAAAGTTTTTAAAATTACTCACTATTTTATACGAATAAATGTTTGAAAAGTCAATGTGACACTTCGACTCGTATCCGGGTTGGATACGGGTTGGGGGTGTTACATTGAGTGATTTTGGATTAATTGGAATTAAATTGAAAAGGAGTCGCCATCAACCTTTGAGTTAAGAAAAATCATTTTTAAAGATAAAATTGGTCTGCGTTACCAGAGGTTCATTTTAAAGGGTTCGAGAGTTGGTTACGCGTGAGGAAGGATTAACATTCCCACAGCGCCCAAAATTGGTACTATTCTGCTTACACGTTGTCGTAATGGTAGAAATCCTGAATCAAATATCAAGTTAAAATATGATCAATTTATTACAATTTAATTAATTCGCCTCAAATTATTTAATTAGTAAAATAAACGAGATTTATTTCAAGTCTCATTTCATTCGAACGCCATATAAGATTGTACCATTTCGATCAAGTGATACTTTCCACCCTGTTCTACAAATATGTATTCTTAAAAATGTTCGAAGAAAACTTTTCTAAAATAACCGTATACTTAATATTATCATAATAATATCATAATAAATTATGTAAAATATCTATTACGTGGTTAGGTGTGAAGAATTGTTACTTATTATTATAATTTCTAATTCATATTTCAAATACCCCAAGTATAGCAAGTTAAACTCCCAGAACAAGCCAAGATTCTTATTAGAGAAATTCTATGACATCTGACATTGAAATTTAAATATGCATAAATTTAATATAACTTTCCAATAGAGCAACTATCGAGAAATTAATTCGGCAACTGCATGGCTTCTGCTAAAGAGTGACAAAATGACAAAATAAAGAGCACTAGGACATAGTAAATAAATCGAGATAATGCATATAAACCGTAGTAATTCCATACCGATAATAATCGTTTCGTTGTTGGCCGAATTTGTGGTTCCAGCTATCTACCATGGCCTCCACAGGCAGCAAAGAGCCCATCTTTAATTGCTCTGCCTGTTTTCTCATTTTCATTTAACAAAAGAACTTCGGTGAAACTCTTGGACATTTTCTTTACGACATCATTAGGGAGTGCAGCAAGGTCCGGCGCTTTGTGAACTAAATTGTCAGAAGCCACTAGGGTCGTTAGCCGCCTGGCCTTCATTTCCTGAGAAACGTTGTTCAGTTCTTGAATTCAAAGAAATGGCCCCGGGTGTTGATCCCACGAAGGAAGCTTAACTCTCTTGAACAACAGAAACTCTGTTGAGGGACAGAAATAGTGAATTGAATTGGTGGAAATTGAGGAAATCTTTCGAAAAACGTTGAGACTCGTCTTCCCGGTGAAATCCGAGCCAAAGTAAGATTTTCTTCCCCTCATTTTCCTTTCTTTTTTCTGTTCGAAACCCCCTGAATAATCTCCTTCCTGCTCCTGTTCGAATATCCTTTGATTTATCATTGATCTCTTCACCAAATCCCCATGGCTGAATCTAAAATTTATTTGTGTTTGGTATGAAAATGACGAGCTTAGGTGAAGTTTAGGTAAACTGATTGTTTTATTTTCATTGTTTGAGGGGCCTTTGGTCAATGTGAATCTCACCAAGTTCTTTTCGGGGCCTACTACTTCAACCACCTCCTTTGACATTTTATTCTTTCCATCATGAATGTAATGAAAATTGAAAATGGTACCAACTTTCCCTTATTCACCTTCATGTAAATCGCATTGTCAAACCTTGTCTTTTTCGGTATGGGCACATGGTGCAATTTGTTGGCCAGCATGTCGTGAAACTGCTCAGGAGAAGCCTTAATCTCAATATCAGTCTCAAGTTTACCAATCAAAACGAAGATGGGAGTATTTCGATTTGTAGTCTGCTTGGGTTTAGATAAAGGCCTGTAAACATGTAAAATAATATCAATTAATATTAATAATAAATAATAATAATAATAATAATTAATAATTAATATTTTTTGCCCGGACAAAAACGGGTGTCTACACCCATTACAAGTTATAATCACTGATTAATAATCTTTAATCCTTATTAACATTTCATTGGTGTTGTTCACTAGTAAGTACCGTAGAAATAAATAATATGCTTCCTACAGCTGAAGTTATGAAGTCCTTGAAAATTCCCAGGGGAGTTCATCGTGTGCTTTTCAAAACGCTCAACACTGACAGGTAAAATCTACATGCACTCTCCAGCTGAAGTGAAATGTTTCATGTTTACAATTAAAGCACCAAAAATCAGATATTATTGAACCATAATTGCTTGGAACTTGCCACAGATATAATGCTGAAACTCACAGAAAGGTTTCCTGATAGTAAAATATGTCAAAACTTTCATTTTTCAGGAGGCTGATGCATAGAAAGAAGTTTGCTTCAGACTTCACAGGATTGAAGAAAGATGGGCACAGTGGTTGGTTGATAACACAGACATCAAACTTGTAGGTAAGATACTAGATTTTTCCATGTTAACAAGAAGAACCTGCTTATGATTACCTATTATTGTATTTATGGCAGGACTTGATTACCTATCAGTTTCTGCATATGATGATGCTGCCCCAACTCATCATATATTTCTAAGAAATAGGGTAAGAAACCAGAAATGAGTTGAGTGGATTCTGTAAGAGAATGTTTTTACTGAAAGTGCTCCATTTTGTTCAGGAAATTGTTCTAGTTGAAGGTCTAAACCTTGATGGCATAAAGCCAGGGAAATACACTGTCCATTGCTTACCAACGAGGATGGTGGGTGCAGATGGATGCCCAACCAGATGCATTCTCACTGCATGAAACCTTTCTCCAAGTAAGATTGTTTCACCTTTAAGACCCAGGTTGGACCGAGAGGGTGCAGGGTGCGATCGCATCTTTAGAAATTTTAAATTCCCTTTTATTTTAGAGTTTTTCTTTATATTTTCTATTGATTATCTAATTTCGCACCCCTAAAATTTTATAACTTCATGCCCCTAAAATTTTTAACGTAACTTCCTAAGTTTGTGTGAGAATTATATAATATACCTTGAATTTACTGCAGGAGAAAAGGGCAGACATGGCCTATTGAGCTTCTAAAAATGAACGGTTTGGAGTATGAAATAAAACCTTCTTGAGTATTGCAGAATCTGTACTGCATCTCTTCCTTGGCATTCAATACAAATTCTATTTACATCATTGTTTCAATGTAATGAGATTGAGTCCCACGAGGGCATTTCATAATTCGGAGGTCTCTTACGGAAGCTGCTCTCAACCTGGTGTTGGGGGTAGCCTACTATCTTACCTCCCCTTACCCCATACATATGGGAAAAAGGGACAGTCATTTTTTTCAATGTAATGAATTATAAAATGCTATAACAATAGTAATTAATATATGTTAGTATTTGACTTTAATGTATTATAAAATAATAATATTTCAGATTATATTATGATTGAAATTAATTATATTTATTTTATGAAAACATATAAAATTGTAACATAAATAATAAATAATTTTTATACAGCTAATATATTTTAGTTGATGTTATAAATATATTCACACAAATTATTTATAATTTTCATTATGATTAATATATTCTGGTAAAATAAATAAAATTAATTTGATCGCAATTTAATCAAAATATTACTTATTTATTTTATATTTTATTTTATAATATATCATACTCAAATATATATATATATATATATATATATATATTAATTGATGGCATAATTTATGTTGTAAGTAATTATTATAGCATCTTATAATTGACATTTTATTATTTACTCTTTTTATTTTATAATATAAATTATAAATAACCTAAAAAATCAATATAATTATAACTGATGTTAAAAATATATTTTTATGTTAATTAATAATTTATCTATAATTAATATATTTTTATAAAATTAATTTTAAATTATAATTCATCATAAATATTATTATTTTTAAATATTATAACAATCTTGATTTTTGATAGTGTTGAATCCCTTTCAAGAGTCAAATTTGATCCCATAGAAGCCATACATATTGTTTTTCATTTCACAACACATTTCCTTAATTTATTAAAAAAATAGCATATAAACATACCACATTCGTTGCCAATGATGGCTGAAATGAAAGTAAATTAAAAGTTTAATAATTAATATAAATTTTAAAAGTTGGGTGACGAAATTACAAATATCCTAAAAATGCAAGGACCATTTATGAAGTTTACCCATAATTTAATGCAACGTTTATTCAAACGACCATTGCACTAGATTTTGTCAATATGCAACCCTTAAGGCAGAACCAAATTCTGATGATACAAAATACAAATGAAGCGAATGAAACTTGCAAGCCAGTTTTATGTACAGAAGTTTGGCATCTATTACGTTCTGCGCCACTTTACTCACTTTCGTAGTCTTCGTCGTCTCCGAAGCTGAAAACAGATGCATCGGCGGCCATTGCTCTGAATTCACTTTCTGAGCTTGAAACTTGAGTGCCACCAGCAGCAGCAGCAGCTTTACTTGGTTCGCCGGTGGCATGCATCGGTTGGGAGTTTCCACTTCCTAAAGAAACTTGTTTGGTAGAATGCACTAAACTTGCTACTTGATCTGATTTGGTATTTGTTTCCGATTTGGAGGTTGCTGAAGGGGCAGCTATTCCCTCTGCAGATGCTGCCTTATTCTGCCCACTCTTTGATGAATCAGATTGTTCTGCCTCGCCGTCCGAGAACACATCATCTTTGTCGTTATGTCCTGGGTCCTTATTTTCATTAGCCGGGGCCGCAGAGCTGTCAATTGATGCAGCACCAGTCCCCGAGCTTTCATCTGGCTTACTGGGAGTAGTATCAGTCATTGTTGGAACAGATCCGTTACAATCTACTAGCACGACCTCAACCTGGAAACCAGGGGATGGCAACTTCCTCTGCACATTTGGTCCAGAAAGAAAGAAATGAAGATCCCTATTCAACATTCATATTTACAATTTTACAACATCATAACACATTTTGTGTTTTACCTTGTCGAACCAATCGAGCTCGCCAGTATTCAGAACTTTTCTGTTTTCAATCATTGTCGTGTTTAACCAACTGATGAATCAAAAGAGGAAGAATCATTAAACAATTGGTTACAAATCATAAATAGTAGTTGGAAGATAATTTTATCCCCTAACATACCAGTAAAAATCTCCCTGGCGATCATGAAAATGAATTTTGAAGTCCCCAGCCAATTCAGTTAGACCAGGCTCCCCAGGCAAAGCAAAGACCATAACACCTTTCTTGGGTGCGCTAAACCAGAAATCTTCTGGCTGTGAAGAAAATATACTTGCATATTATTTCAATTTGGAATACAGATGCTCAGAGCTTTGAATGGCATTTTTTTAACATATGAATGGTGATTATAATCATGGTTGTAAAAATTGGACCACACCTGCATGGTTGAACCAAGCACCGGTTGGTCCAGCAGCCAACCATATAAGTTGAACCGAAAAGTTAAAAAATAGGCCAAAACCAGGAACCACAAAAAACAGTTAAAAACTGGTTAACAAAAATTATGGGTTTTTTCATCATGAGTTGGTTCATTTCCATTATTGGGTTTTGTAAATATTATTTTTTAAAATAATTTTTTATTTTCTCCTTTATTGATTTTATAAAAAAAATTCTTAATTATTAATTCACATTTTTAGATTTTTTTAGATGATTGAATCACCCGATTGAACTGGTAACCAAAACTCAAACCGGTTTGAACTCAATTCAGTTTTTCCAATCATGATTATAATAATTACACTAAACAATCAGACATACCGATAGATCCTTGGTGCGTTGATGTTTCTTTGTTGAGAAGAGAATACCTGTACACAGGGAGGGCATTGAAAGTTCATCACAACTCAGTCTAGGCTGAATGCTAAGATGAATTAAAATGACAATAAAAATGACTGCATGTCACTTTCATCCGTTAATTTACAAGTTTTCTCTCTCTAGGATTAGCAAAATTCAAACAGAAATACCAGTGTACTGTAATCGTAACCAAAGATAAATAGCATCCAGGGTTAGATTTGAACCCTAAACATGAGGAAGCAAAACTTAACAATGAGATTACTCACTTAGTTGTTATTAGGACGATTCAAATACAGAATAAGAATTTCACACTACATTTAAACACAGTTATGCCAGCATTATACCATAAAACACTAGTAATAAATGGTAAACAAGATTCTGAAATACTAGTGACCAGGAATTTAAATAGCATAAGCAGTCGAGTTCATGTTTATCGCAATCACAGGCTTAACTGAGGCTATCGCCTATCGTGATCATTACAGTCATATTTTTTTTTCTTCATTTTTACACAACTTATTGTAAAGTTTATTAATCATTATAATATTAATGATTTTAGAGCGTTTTATGATATTCAAAGTCCTATTTTTTTTTAATTATTTTTTCAACTTTTCTCTGTTTCTATCCCCTTCTTGTCTTTTTTGTACATCTTCTCTGTCATTTTTTCCATTTTCACTCTCTAATTGCAATTCTCTCTCTCCATCTACTCTACTACCCCCACCCCCCAAAAAACACACACACATCCCTCTCTTCTAAGTTCTATTGACCCTTGTGATCTGTTTTTTTTATAAGAATAGTCGGCCTCATTAAAAAACCCCCTTCATGATTAATGGAACTCGAAATCAATTCCTTAATCAACGGAAGGAGGAAAAGAGTGCCTTAGGATTTCATTAATATTAAGATTAGAACATAGGAATACAACACCCTATAACTCCCTTAAGGAGATAGACAACCAAAATAATTACATCCCTTAAATACAACATAAGAATCAACCAATTCCAGCCTTAGCTAGGGCATCTGCCTCTAGATTAGCTGTCCTATTAACCCATCTAATAACACCTTCATAAACTCTTAAGCTTTTCAATAATATCTTTAACAATGTATGCATAAACATCAGGACATGAAACAATATCCTTAACCCAGTCAACTGCTACCCTGCAGTCACTCTCAATGATTAAGCGATCCTTGAACCTATGTCGAATAGAGTGAAAGAAAGATAAGCCCTTAAGGATAACTTTCAATTCCATCAAAGTAGAGGCCCCGGACCAGCAGACTCCTTAAAAGATCCTAGGATCGACCCAGAGTCATCTTTTAAAACACCACCTAACCCACTTCTCTTCCAATCACTAGTAGTGGCAACATCGACATTTAATTTGATGAAGCCCTTTGGAGAAGGGGACCAAGAAATAGTAGTTATGATCGGGTTAGAGTAAGGAGAACAAGAATCCCCTAAAGAAGATCAGAAATAAGAGAATCCTTGGAGATCAAATCCTGTTTATACTTTGCTAAATACCATGAAGCAAGCCTGAACCTAGCTAAAAAGAAAAATTCAGCTTGATCTAGCTTCCCTCCTTCAAACACAATAGAATTCCTGAGTTTCCAAATGGTCCATAGGACGACCCCTGGAATAAATGACCATATGAGTGAGTTAGTTCTCAAATCAGCCCATGCTAGGAGAAATCTTTTTGCAACAGCCTGAAAAACAGACTGTATCTTCCAGAACCTCATGAATTTATTCCATATAGACCAAGCCACCGAACAAGTAAAAAATAAATGTGAGGGAGACTCATCAAACTGCTTGCAAGAAGGAAATAACAGTCATCGATACCCTTCACACCTCTTTTAACCAGAACTGTCTTCACTGCCAGCTTCTGTAGAATCACTTGCCACACAAATGTCTCCATTTGTGATCTGTTTCTTTCCTTTGCAACAGATTCCTCAATTTTTTGAATCCCCAAATCCATGGAAACATACATGTAAAAAAGGTTGGAATTAGCCTGAAATTAGGAATGGCTTCACAAAAACTTTTGTTCCAATAGCGTGGCAGCAGCTCGCTACCACTAAAGAGCAGCCCCTATACCACTATTGATCTGTGCTATTTAAATCCCTGCTAGTGACTGCCTGCACCCTAAATGTTGAACCAAATATCTTATATTCAAACCTATAAGGAATTTGTCTATGTGTTGAGAACATCTGTACCAATAAAACACCCGAATCCAACAAGAGGTTCAGCATAAACAACGATAAAAACATACCACCAATCAAACAAAGGAAACTGTTTGCAGACAAAAATGTCATACCATTATGATCAGAGATGGTGATGGAGGGCCTAATCCAATATGGGCAGCGATGAAGCCGGAATCCTCGAAGCATGCACCTGAGTAAAAAGTGGAATCAGCACTAAATGAAGACCAAATATTCAAACTAAGATTCTATAGCCGGATAATACCTGCGCCCAGGCTGGTTTTCGCCATTAAAGTATGTTAACGTGCGTTCAAAATATTTGACATATCTCTTCAAAACATAACAAAAAAAGAAATGGAAAAGATAAGAAATAAACAGCTAGCCGCAAACAAATATTGAAAGTACAACTTCTATATCACTGGAAATCAGATGCTCACAATTTGACTTGGAAGAACAAGCCCCTTCCCATCCACACATCTTTTCTGGTTGTAGTAGTCAATGGACTCTTCAGCAGTGGGGAAGAACTGCAGAAAATAGCAAATAACAAATAAGTTATAAGAACAAAATCATCCATTGTGACCAAGAAATTCGAAGCTACACCAAATCTGTTGGCATTTCTTCAATATGTTCACTGAACCAAACCTTCAAGTATAGAAGAAGGCTGGAGATCATCAATCCTGTCCTTGCCATCCCAGCTTTACAATGCACAACCACAACATTCTCAATATCCTCCTTCAGCCATGAGTAAGCACTTTGACAAAAAGATATTATCAATTGAATTGGGGGGCAATTATGATCATCAAATGGGAAACTAGCCACCTGAAGAAAAAGTTCGGTATAAATAACATAACAAATAAGATGACACCAATCCACACATTGCTCCTCCTACAGTAAGTTTTAACAGGCTGTATTTGTCATTTATACATGAATTGAGTGGGAAACAAAAGGTAGTGATTTACATCAAAGTTTAGGAGGAATTGACTTGCCCCAGGAATTACCCTTGCCAATGACTAATTTGCATCATTGAGTGAAATACTCTCCCCCGTCCTCTCCTAATGGATTCCATTGGAAAATAGTTTAATAACAAAATTGGCAGTTGATTTCATTGTTTAGCTTATTTTTGTTTCTGATTAGTTCTATGAGTTCAACCAATTCTTCAGATGAAAAAATAGGCTGATATGGTTGCCCTGCACAGTTAAGAGATTAAAAAGGTTCTTTTATCAAAGCTAAACAAATAGCACGGAGCACAGCGCCACCAGCAAACCATAATAATTTAAGGATAAATTCCAGTTGAAGAATTAGAAGTAAACAAATTCTCAAGTGAGTTCCCAGAACAAATCATAGCATACCTTTCCTTCAAGTAGCGAAGCATCATATAATCTTTCAGAGCAAAGGTTATACACTTTGTATTTGTCCTGCACACAAATATACACATGAATTAGTGAAAAAAATGGCCTCAACATTAACTGCTCCAGAAACCTCAAGCAAAAGGTTCACATTGAAGAGAGGTGGATGTAAATTTTTTAAAAAGGTAAAGGCCAGAATGTTTACCAAAATCTTGTAGTTTGTGATTTTTATTTAAGGAAAGGCCACTGCCAAAGAAGGCATAGTACATAACAGTGTAAAAGCTGAGGAAGTTATTATGTTCAAAGAGAAGAAAACATATTAAAAGAAGCAGAAAAAATAATCTCTCCCAGTCAATAATAAATTAATAAACCAGTATTTCAGTGAGTTACTCTGCAGCAAAGACAGCTTATAATCATTGCACACTGTCCAATAAGCTTTTTAATATTTCACAAATACTGAACAACCTAACAAATTTTATTTTTAAAAAATGTTTCCATTCAACTTATGATGTCAGAACAAGGTTCTTCTTATCTATTTAGGAAATAAACGGTAACGCCCCAAGCCCCCAACAAAGAAATGGCATCACAAAAATCAAATTGTTTCAGTAAATTACTACATGCAGCCATCATAAGGCAAAAAGGGGAAAACACAGGGAAAAAGCCAGAAAAGAAAGGAAAGAAAATGATGCAGGGAGCGGCTAATCATATACCTATAGACATTCCATTACCTTGTGATATGTTTCAAAAAACTTAATCACTTCTTCCATGTGATTTCGATAGAAACCCTGTATCACAATCATGGAAATTTAGGCCAAACATGAGAGGATAGTCAAATTCAGCTATTGATTATGTAACTACCTCAACATATCCAAAAAACCCAGAGCTCATGTCACCAGCAGGGAACCCCATAGCAATTATGTTCTCTGTGATATATGTCATATCTAAGTCAAATCCTCCTTCCTGAAGTAGAGATGCACATGTAAATACACAATTATTCAGATTCAAATTATAGAAAAACAACAACTACAACAAAATCACAATGAAATTATTCTGACTAAAAAAACATTGGAGAAACACTTATATGGGAAAGAAGATCACACAGCCCACCTGGAATCTCCGTTTGTTCTGTGAAACAACATGACGAGCCTTGACCTGTACAGCTTTCACTGCATTTTTAGATGAGTCCACTATGCCTTTTGTAATTGTTCCAAGCAAACCAGGCTGTGTGGTTGTTGATTCACCATCAAAACCATCATTAGCAGGAGGAGATTTTGGAGACAATCGCAGTCCTAGCCCACTAGTAAACCGTGAAAAAGTTGATTTTCCAGCATTTCCTGTAGGTGAGTTCTCTTGTGAGGTAGCAAATGGCTGAGGAACTTTTAGATTTTTAGCCCATGATGACAGCTTTGATGGTGCATCTTGATTAGAATTAGTTGATCGTGAATCTGTGCCAGCAGGAGTTTGTGCATCAGAAGCTTTAGCAGGAGGCGAACTTGGCAAGTCAGCATGTACATTATCCATTCTGCATTCCAGAGGTCTCAATAATTGAACATCAAGAGTTCGAAAACATAGCATATGTGACACTAGTTTATAGTAGTTAGAATTGCAACTGCAAGCATAATGCATAGTTTCAGAAAATAAATGGTAAATGTTATAAGAAACATGGACTTCTTATCTTCCAGTATTAAGTAAACAAAAATCACTAAATCCAAATGGATTTGACCTAATGCCCAAAAGCAAGTACAAAATGAGAAAGAAATAACAGACATACAGTCTACAGCAAATAGTCAGGTGATTCTTCTAGCTTTCTGTAGTTTACATTCTTCCCAATCACTTATCAAAGGAAGTGCCAAAAACCATAATTGCATTAAGGCAAGGTATAGCCCAAGTCACTCTAGGCATTTTTAATCTATGCATCTATTTACAGTAGAAATTCCAACTGTCCAATACTAACAAGAAAGGGTTGAGAGTAGAAGCATGCTAGGCAAGCAACAATTCATATTTACGCAAATTATGTCACACCCCACATCAAATTAATCAACTTAGCATGGAAAATTAAATATGCAAAGGGTTAATTCCACTAGTCTACAAATCAGCAAAAAAGTGCAGCTATTAAAATATAATGTAAAAGAAAAAAAATTATAACTATTTCAGATATGGGATTAGCAAATTATCTGCTTGAACTCTGATTTATAGCTAATAAACAAGTAATAGTCGCTGATTATTCACTCCAAGGATCAAAAGAATATATTTAGATGGGTATCTTAAAGTAAATTTATGTCTCCAGTATATAATCAAAATCAAATCCCAATATTAGCTTCCAAATTAGAAAATATTATCAAAACTCAAAACAAATAAAAGAGAGTATAAATCGAACTTCACACACTTAAAAAAGCTAATAATGAAATGAAACTAAATCATCGATCTATTCGAAGAAAAGTTATTTGAGAGATTAAGATCTACGGAAACTATCTTACCTTGTATCCAGATTACGTAATCACCTGAAGTAGGGGATTGCAAAAATGGAAGCTAAAAATTGGGGAAAAGATATTTAGGGTTTCGAAATTTAACACGATGATGGAGAGAGAGAGAGAGAGAGAGAGGGATTGGTGGGGACTGAGGACTGGTAATATCGTATTTTGAGGATTTCTTTTGCGTCGGTTCACGCGCCCAGAATGGTCAACGAATGTGGACTGTTGAATTAGCAAATACTATTTTCAAGCTTGAAATTAACGGTGGATGATTAGTTTTGCAATTACTCCACGATCTATGTAGCGTACGGTACTTAGTTCTAACAATCTTTGCAAGATATTTTATGGCCATACGACCCCTCAACTTTAAAATATTTTTAAACAAATAATATTAGTAAATTAAAATTTTCTTTACTAATTTTACTCTCTTATATTTTTCTCACTAAAATTTAATTTTTTTTAATTTTCTCACTAAATTTAATACATTAAATTTTTTTAGCCAATGTATCATTAAATAGTTAACGGTATTAAAATAATTCCATTTTAAAAAAAATAAAAATTTCACCAAAATGAAATTATTTTTTATCTATACAGCAACCCATTTAGAACTCATTAGTGAAAAACGGTTGAGTGACAAAAAAAGTTAATGTATTAAGTTTAGTAAAAAAATAAAAATATTTAAAATATAGTGAATGAAATAGGAAAAAGAGTAAAATTAAATTACCAAATTTATAATTTACCCATAGTTTTATTAGGATAAACTCAATTATTAAAACTTATCGTTTGTTTGGGTAAAATACAACATTAGCTTCCCAATTATTAGCATATTTCTATTTGTTTTATTGAACTTAAAAAAAATCAATTTATCATTAATACTATTGATTGCTTCCGTTTTAGTCATCTACGGTTAAATTGACAACAAAAAGAACTAATTAGTTCATTAATCTTAATTCTAAATAATTTAATAAATTCAACCTTTGTACTTATAAATTTTATCAATTTAATTATACTTTTAATAATTAATTTTTAAAAATAAAACGATCATAAATGGAATGTTTTTTTGTAGTAACTAATATCACCAGCATAAGAAATAAAATTACATAAAGTAAAGAGATGAACAATGATATTTGTTAACATATTTCAAGTTTAATCGACTCTATATTTATTGAGTCACACTCATAATTTAATTTCAATAATAAATTTATAAGAAAATATTTAAACTCGTTTTCATTAACAAACATTTTCATATACAGTATCATAGGTTAATCAAACTCACATGCAGAAACACACTAAAGTTATAAGAAATATTTGACAGCAGATCGTTTCCTTGGAGCCCCTCGCATGCTGGTTGGTTAAGCTCAACTCGGATGGTGGCCGACAACCAAACACGGGTGTAGCGACATGTGGAGGGGTCTTGAGGGACCATGAAGGACGATGGATCCGGGTTTGCTAAGAGAATTGGAATTTGCTCGACAATTGATGTGGAATGGTGGGAGATTTTCGAAGGTCTCTCTCTTGCATGGTCTCTAAGAATACAACAACTTATTGTAGAAACGGATAGTCGAGAGGTGTTGAATGCTATTGGTCCCAACATTGGCTTGGGTGGTGGTTCATCAATGGTGCACCATATTACTGATTTAGTAGCTCGTTTGTGGGTGGTACAATTTATTTTCACCCTTCGCGAGTGTAATAGTGCAGCTGATACTAAGGCGAAAATGGCTCGACAATACTCGAATGGTTTACATATCTTTTTTCGCTCCTCTGAAAATTGTTTATGTTATTTCGGTTGAGGTGAGCTCTGCTGAGATGCAAGGTTATGTAGGATAGCACTCCTTATATTTATTTCATCGCTTCCATTAAAAATAATAATAATAAAGAAGTATTTACCAACAGGAGTTTGTTCAAGTGATAAACAGTTTGATATCGCTTAAGCAAGGTATTGAGTTCGAGTCATTGTGTATGTATAAAATCTCTACTGCGAGACTTATCTACCAAAGCCAGGTATGCGACGTTAGTCGATTTGAGTCAGTCAATATGAAGCTTTGGAAATGGGAGGACAAATTTTATTTAAAGAAGTATTTAATTCATATTTTATAGAAAATACTCAAACAAATATTAGAGAAAAAATATAACAACATATTTTTATGAAATCAAAGAATAATTCAATATATTAACTATAATTAAAAAAAGATTTTAATCAATGGATAAATACATCAATCAAGTCAATACTAAAAATACACTAAATCAATAAATAGACAAAAGGAACAACCAAAGAATTGTGGTACCTCTATCCAACTCGAAAACTTAATTAAATAAATGATACAGATTTAGAGAGAATAACATTTGAATTTTAAAATATATTTTTTATCAATATTTTAATTATAATTTCATGGCCTGATTTAAAAAAAAAAATTGGGCCATAACTTAAACACTTTGCTTTACTTTCTCTACACATTAAAAAAATTATATTTTTTACAGTGATGGAATCTTCAATCAACATCATATCTTTTAATTATATTTACACGAATATCAAACAACAAAATAAACTTCAAATATAGCAGTGAAATAACTAAAATTTTAAACACCAAATACAAAGAAATACATGATTAGCAAAATACATATTAAACATTCCATGCAATTCATTAGTTCAATAACTTCAATAAAATAATTTTATCTACGGTAATAATCGATTTGTGAAATAATGAATCTGAAAAAAATAATTTCTGAAATAATGATATCCGTGGATTAATTGCTTGAATATTGAGAATGTTACAATATATAGAGGAGACTTATTGAATTCTTTGCGTCCCAGCCAAAACCCAGGTAAGTCGCATAGTGTTCCATGCGTGTTTCCCCGGTGAGTCGCATGTCTTTCCATGTGTTTTTTTCATAGAATCGTATGGACTATGGAGCAAATGGCGTCTTAGGACTGACACCACTGCATGCCCCGTGTATTAATCACATAGCTGGCATTCGAATAATAAAAACGAAGCTGCCCATTTGATTCCTCATATCCTAACCCATATTGGTATTTCCCATATAACCCATACCATGATTATTACAAGTTGAACATAAAAAAAAAATCTTTCAACTATTTATATATGTAGGAATTCGGGATGGCCATCTAAAAATTAAAGAAGAAGCAACAATTGGAGGAGATTGCAATTAATAGAGGGAGCAACAACAAAGAAGATTAATTGAGGAGCATTTTAAAAAATTTGGTACTTTTTTTTTTCTTTCGTTATTCTAATTTGAGTATGTATTATATGGTAAATTTATCTAATTTTTTGTTATTTTGATTCAAATTATTTATTTAATATGTTAATTTTTTGGCAGACAAAAGAGATAGATTTTTTTAAATCAAGTTCTTGAAAGAAACGGTGAAGTAAGTTTGAAGAAATTTTATTTGAGGTATTTTATGATTAATTATTATGTTAATATTATTTTATAAATATTTTTAGTTGTATTTTACCTTTTTTGGATTTATTGTTGTTATGTTAATATTATTTTTATAAAATTTTTATGTTTTATAATATTATTTTACGATTTATGACCATAGTATGTACATGTATTTTTTATTCTAAATTAATAGCGAGTATGATGAAAGAGACTACTTTATGTTAACTTATAAATCCATTTCATTTTAATATAAAAATATATGTTTTAATTTTATCTTCACTTAAAAGTATATTTTATTATTTCTTAACTTACAAAATATATTTGATTCTTATCTTAACCTTTAAAAAAATTTAAAATATGTTAACTTGAAATATATTTTATTCTTATGTTAAATATGTTTTGAAATTAATATATTTAAAAAATATTTTAAAACTTAAGATAATAATAAAATATATTTTTAATTTAAAACAAGCTAGAATAAAATATATTTTTAAATGAAGATAATAATAATAAGAATATAATATATATATATATATAATTATATTAAAATAAGAATAAAATTGAAATATATTTTAAGTTAAAGATATTTAAATATATATATATTATAAAAATTAAGATAAGAATAAAATATATTTTTATATTAAAATAAAAATAAAATATATTTAACAAGTTAAGACAAAAATAAGATTAAAGATATATATTATTTGTTGTAAAAACTAAATCAAATAATAGCTTTAGCTCAATGGTGTGACAATAGCTTTGACACGTGTCACCTTTTAATTGAAATAAAATAAATTTATTAACTAAAAATAAATTTAGCCCTCAAATTAAATGATGACACTTGTCACTAATGACATGCATCACCTGATACGAGGTTAAATTTATTTTAATTAATTAAAATTAGGATCAAATTGAAAGAATATATAAGTACAAGGATCAATTGTGTAATTATACCAAATGATTTATCTGCCACATCACTGGCACCGTTAAAATGTTAACAGTATATGGCTAATAGGGATAGACATAGAACTCGAATCTGATAGGTTCTGACTCGACGGGGTCAGATTTTTTTAAAAAAAATTCAAGTTAGGGTCGGGTCGAGTTGAGTTTTTTAGATGTTGTGTCCGGATCGGACCGGGTTCGTTTTTAGGGTGAAAAATACCCAACCCCACCCAAGAAAACATACAATTTTACCTTTATTTTTATGGATAATTATAATAATGCCTCTCTATATATTATTTTTTAATTAAATCTCCATTTTTATTGAATAAAAATAATATTTATAATAAATATATTATTTCAGTCCAGGTTGGGCCAGATTCTGATTTTATCTCAAAAAGTCAGGTCAGGTGGAGGGTGTATATTTTTCAGGTCAGGTCAGGTTCGGTTAGAGAATATATAATTTTTGGATCAGTTCGAGTTGACTGAAAATCCGACCCAACTCATGCCTATCCTTAGGTCGTTGCATTGAGGCATTTAAATAGTTGGGTGGTCTGATTGATTTAATTGAAACATTAATGGTCAAAATGAAATTTGGTAATAGTTTAGCGATCACCCGTGTAGTTTACCCTTATTTATTTATTTTTGAATCAGTGTGATGGTTTTCCATATTTGATTTGAATGAGTGTGAAAAATTAAACGAAATTAAACCACCTAATTTGAATAATAACATTTTATTTAATATTAATTTTTATACAAATA